TGAGCTGGGCTGACACAGGGGCAGCAACAGTGGGCTCAAACATAACAGTTGTGAGCATGGTTTGGGACCAGCCAGTGTTTCATGCTGTTGTGCATAAATAGGGTCCCTATGAGTTGGAACTGACTCAAGTGTACCAAACAACATAGTCACAAAAATACAACAGAGTTCTTAAATCCTTCACCTAGCTTTCCTAGAGTTACCATTTTACATAACCATAATGCATCACTATTTGTTATGGTGCATTTATCAAAACAAAGAAATGATTGTTGGTACAACGCTTTTAACTAAACTCAAGGCCTGATTTGCAATTTACGAATTTTTCCACTAATGCTCTTTTCTATTACGGGATCCAATCCAGGATCTCACCTTGCATGTAGGTTTTGTTTGTTTGTTTGTTTGTTTTCTTTCCCTTAATCTCCTCCAACTTCAAAGACTGCCTCAGTCTTTCCTGGTCTTTCCTAACTTCTGGGTACTTTAGAAGAATTGTTAAGTGCCATCAAGTCATTTCTGACCCATAGTGACCCTCTATAGGATTGCTAAGGAGTAGGTGTGGGTTTGAACCACCGGCCTTGTGGTTAGCAGTCCAGTGCTTATCCTGTAGCACCACCTCAGGACTGAAGAATACGGGTGAGGAATTTTTTAGGAAGCCTTTTCCATTTGGGTTTCTCTAATAATTTATCAATTACAATAAGTGATGGATTTTGGGCAAAGAATACCACAGATATATTATTCTGGCCATAGGAGTTTGTGTCTTGCTGTTGGTGGTGTTGACTAACCTTGATCCCTTAGAGCTGAGGTAGTGTCTGCTGAGTTTCTTCACTGGAAAGGTGCCCTCTTTCCCTTTGTAATTAATAAATAACTTGGACAGGGGCTTCTGGGAGACTTTGCAACTCACTCCTCAAACTTTTCCCTCCTGATTGCCGTGTCTTTGCCTGTGACAGTCATTACTGTAGAACCCTAATGGGGATGGACTGTTTCTTTCATTTTTTGCGCATGATAATGAACAACAGGATTCTTCTTCTCTGAAACTCTATATAGGTTTGTTTTCAGTTAAAACGGATTCAGCGGCACTGAACAACATTATTGTATGATGTTTAATTTTTGTTGCTCAGCTTGTTCCAGTTTTACTCACTAGGAGCTCCCAGGGTTGGAGCCTTTGTCCTTTGAGTAGGTGCCCATCCTATTTTGAGCACTTCCTCACTTCTCACACAGGATTTTTCAGGCTCATCTTGTATTTTCCCTCCTCTAGCTCTGGAACCAACCTCTTCCTTCTCCAGGGAGTTCTGACTTGCTGTATTGGAGAATGGTGTATTGGAGAATGGTGTATAGAAGCCAAGATTTGGGTGCTGAGTGTGTGCTTTGCTCTCAGGACATCATTAATTCTAGGCTCTCTCAGTAGGCAGAGCTAGGAAATGTGTGTGTGCATGCCCATTGTTGTAGGGGAGAAGAGACCCCATCTTTACATATAAAAATATTGCAGTGATTAAGTCTTAAACAGGAACAAGACCTTTTGGGCTTCTGTCTGCTCGGTGATGGGAAGCGCCTTCCCCACAGGATATCAATGCAAGCCTGAATAAGAAAAATAATTTCTTGCACCTAAATCTTGGCCTGTCAGTTATACCTTAATCCCACCTTGGGAAACAGTCTTCAGGAGAGCCTAGATGAGCTCATACAGTCTCAGCAGATCACTCCCCAACTTGTCCTTCAAGTTCTCTTTCAGTTTGATAAGGCTATAAAGTCAGCATTGGCTCAGAGGGTCAGGAACAGAGTCAATTTCAGGGGCTCTCTAAATGCATACAGATTCTGCGATAATGTGTGGACTTTTGTTTTGAATGATGCTGAATTCAGAGAGGTGACAGAGCTTATTAAAGTAGATAAAGTGAAAATTGTAGCCTGTGATGGTAAAAATACTGGCTCTAATACTACAGAATGAAAGGGACAAAATGGTTTTCATGCCATCTTCTGTTGCTCTTCATCGCTTTTTGAAGAAAAGCATAGAAGAGACTTTTAAAATTTATTCTAACAATGTAGAGATGACTGCACTGTGCTGTACTATCAAAGAATTCCAGTAGAAACACGCTTGTAACTCTACAGCCCCGTACATTACCCTTTATTATACAGCATGGAGAAACTTTATTTTAATAACAAATCAAGTGTTGCCTTCCTACAAACACTCTTTAATAAATACATTTTAAAAGAAAACAGGAATAAGGACACCATAGATCATCCAGGTGAGGAAAATCATAGACACCATGATGAATTTCCAAAGTTCTATATCCTCCACGAGGTGACGTTTTATAGAGCACAGAAAACAAAAGAAATCTCCTCATGTGTCACCTGGGCATGCTGTTGCAGATAGGAGAGCTTACAGAGGCAGGCGCTCAATGTACCACAACCAGACCACCGTGAAGGAAGGGGTGTGCCTGGGAAAGTTCCTATGAAGGCCAGATGGGGGAAGTGACCCCAAACCCACTTCTAAATATAATCTACTTCTAACTCTGGTGAGTCAGCTGTCAGAGGTGCATGAGGGACTCCAAAACAAAATGGCATCTGTACACCTAACCCTAGCACAGGATGGAGAAAAGCTCTGCTTGACTGAAGCTGTTTGTAGGCAAAAAGCTTTCAGATTTCACGCTCTACACTACCATGTAGATGCGCACAGCCAGGTTTCTATCTTATCTCTCTCTCTCTCTCTGTCTCTCTCTCTCTCTGTCTCTCTCTCTCTGTCTCTGTGTGTGTGTGTGTAAAACTATGAGGTTATACGAATGGCCTTTGATTCCTATCTGACACAAGGTTCATTGTAGCTTCCTTCTCATGCATAAGTAGCTTCTTTCTCCAACGGTGAGAAACCCAGCTCTTGTCTGTCATATACTGACTGTACAAATAAGTCAGTATGTTAGTCGCTTTAGAATTGCTAACTTAACCCCCCTTGAGAACCACATTTGCTAAGTAGTTTCACAGCATGTGTGGCATTGTTTTTGTCTTTAGCATTACAGTATTGAGTGAAGATAGAGGGTTTTTTCCACATAGGTTGCTTCTTTGCCCCCGCCCCCTTCACCCTGGCACTATTCATCTGCAGTACTGATGGGTTCCTGAATTAGTGTTTATTTTCCACCTTGAGCTCTGGGCTTCCTGGTTGGTATGATCAGTTTAGTGTGGGGGTGTGTGAAGGATGCGTGACACATTACAGTCACTCCTGAGAGTCAAATACAGCAATTTCACCATTGGTTCCTACTACCCTTCTCTCAACCCTTTTCCTTCCTCCTCACCCCCACCCTCATATAACCAATCCCTTTCATGTGTGTTTTTTAATACACTGATTCCTTAGATCTAACTTGGCAACATTCAGAGTTTAATTGGTGTTTTATTTGATACCTGTTAATAAGCAGAATGGAGTCCTGGTGTGGTGCTGTGGGTTAATGTGCTGGACTGCAAAGTCAGTTTGAACCACAGGGTTCACGGTTCAAGCTCACCAGCTGCTCCTCGAAAACCCTATACAGGGTTGCTATGGGTCAGAACCAACTCAGTGGCACTTAACAAGTAACCAGAATAGAAACAGGGAAGAATGTACCCTTTCCTACACTGTATCTCATCATCCTCCTAACATTAAAACTGAGGTCAATTTTTAATCACAAAAGCATGACAGTATTAACTCCTTGAGGAAAGTGAAAATTTTATAAATGAGAATAAAGTCCTATTTGATTTCCCTCCCCTAACATAAAACCATTTTATTGTCCTGTATACATTTCTAAACATATGTGCCTTTAGGGGAAAAAAGCGAATTGTTTTATAAGTATGGGTCTTCTGTGTTCTTAAACATAAAAGGTCATTTTATCTCACTTCAGCTTTCGTTTTCACTCACATGTATCTTGAAAATGTCTTGTTTGTACAGATAGCGATAGCCTTACCTCATTGTTTTCTAGCATCTGCCAGTATTTCCTGTTGTCTCACCTTGCATGTAACTCTCACTGCTCATGTGTGGATGTTGCTCTGGGGCTGAAACTAAGAAGTGGTATTGCTGTATCCACTCTCCATCACAGTCCACACAGCTCGTTGCTCTCCCAAGGGGCCATGTCAGTTCCCCATCCCACCCGGAGTTAAACACTGTGGAGGATGTTCAAACCTGTACAAGGTCACTAGGAGTCAGAACCGAGTTAATGGCACTAAACAACCACAGCACCAGCAGTATGTGACCTTACACAGTCTTTGGGGGGTGGTGGGGGTGGTGGCATCAATAACGTGGAATTTCCCAAGTCTTAATTTTTTAGACAATTTGAAGCAAATACTAGTATTTTGTGTCAGTGTTCTTTCCTCTGAAATGTTGATTTTTCTGTCATTAGCATTTTTATTCCTTTTCTGGGTTTACCCATTTATTAACCCTTTTCTTTTCTTATTGCTTTGTACGAGCTCGTTATAAAGGGTAGGTTCACTCATTTAGCAGAACCTCCTGCTCCCCTTGCATATGCCCAGGCATTGCTCGAGGAGGCATGTCCCTCTGTTTTGAAGGGAAAACCAGGCCACAGAAAGTCTAAACAAGCAGAATATGTAGTTGCTGAGGAGTACTGTTCACCAAGAGAGAGACAGGCAGGGGCTGAGTGGGGGCTGGGAAGACTCCCTACCCCAGTTCCCATTGTTGACTTCTACCTTTAGGTAGGGGATCAAGAAAGGCTCCTCAGAGCATGGAGTCCACACTGAGGTCTGAATGGCGAGGAGGAGCTTACCACGGGAAGCTCCCAGACTGCGAGTAAGATCAACACGTGCTTGGGCTCTGAGGAGCCAGAGAGGAAGTCACGCAGTCACATCTGGGACAGGGGACCTGATGGATGGGGGCCAGCTTCAGGAGGAACGTGTCCACCCATCCTCCCCTCTGCCTGCCTAGGCAAGGGGACCAGACAGAGCTGAGCTTCTGGGGGACACGTGCTGCAAGGGTGATCACTGGGTTCTGTGGTTGTTTCAAGGCATAGGGCTTTTCTTTAATAAAGGAACATTTTCTGTTTCAGATTACCTAGGAACAGTACGATTTGGGGTTATCACAAATAAGCATCTTGCGAAACTGGTGTCCTTAGTGCACTCTGGAAGTGTGTATTTACATAGACATTTCAACACGTCACTTGTAAGTATTTTGAAACTGCGTTTCTGTTAGTGTAGTGGTTCTTAACTTTGTCTAGGCCACAGACTCCTTTGAGAGTTGGAAGAAAGCTATGCATGTTCTCCCTAGGAAAGTGCTCAGGGTTTTAGATGCACATTGAGAGTTCTACCTCCCCACCCTGGAGCCTAGGCCCAGGTTACTAACCCGGCCATCAAAGGACTCTTGGATTTAACATCCAGACATTCTTTGTTTATAGTCCTAGACTGGTACAACCTTGTTGGTTTGTCTGGCTGAATGAAATTGCAGTCACTCTGCTTCAGGTGTGTTTCTCTGTACCCACATTCTTATAGGTCAAGCTGCCATTGGACTGTGCTCTTTGTTCATTTGTCCATGTGTTTAGGGTGGCAATATGACATGCATTTCTCCCTCGAGGAGGTCATGGAGTTTTGAAGTCTGTGTCCAGTCCCAGTGAGAAGCTGATGGCTTCTCCCCCCAGACACCCCTGCTTCTCCATGGCTGCTTGTGCTCCCTGATTTTATTTGCTTTTTGGTGGAGCAGCTTCAACTCCGCTGTTTTTGAGCTTTGGCCTGGTTGTTACTTGGTCTGTGCATCTGCTTGTGATTTATTGCTACGTCTGCAGTCACATCCTGAGAGGTCGTCTTAAGTGTTTTTATGTCTCTAATTGCATTGCCAGCGCTGGCATCTGACATGGTGTGTGAAGATGAAGACCCCTGTCCCCAATGTGGCCAGCCCTTGAAGTCTCTGCTCCCCTTGACTCTGCATCATAGTCTTGTTGCACAGAAGTTACTGCTAGACCCTCACTCTCCAAGGGGTGCTCCCTGGATTGCCAGTCATTGCTGCTGCCTGCCTCTGGTAGCCAGACATTATGCTCTTCTTCTTGCAGTTTATATCCTGACACGCAGATGCATTTTTGTGTGTTATGGTCCCTGTGTCACCCACACATCCTCCTCGTGCCTCTGCCTGCACATCTTCAGATTTCATGTGCATCTGCCATGGACCATTCTCCTGCATCCTTGTTTCTAGGAAAGCAACCACAGGAAGAGGTGTAAATAGATGGAGATGTGGAGGCAGGCCTCAGACTTCACCTCGGTCGTCCTTTTAAAGGCAGGTTTGTTCTGTCAAGAGAGACACCAATGGGAGCTCAGTACATAAAAGAACCGAACAGAAAGGTGCACGTCTCCATTCTGAAGCAGTTGAAATCTCTTGCTGAGGCTGGGAAGTAATCTTAACTTTGTGGAACCCTCTCGTGCAAAGCACTCTTCTGGCAGTTTGATTTGAAATCCAGTGATTTTTTATTTTCATTGAAATAAAGTAGTTGTTTGATTGCACACACCCTTGAGTTGCTATAGTAAAACAAAAGCATGCGTGTCTCTTTCCTTCATCCCATACACGTATGAGGTGGTCCATGCCTCGTGCCAGTCCTAGGTCATTGGTGCGTAGGCGCAGTCAGATACTGGTTGAGTTGGTCTCTGGAGATAAAACAGACACCAGCCTCAGCCCTCATGGAGTGTTCATGCCTGCCCTTCTGGAGCAGATTTTGATGGTCCTGACCCCATTATCTCTCTTCCCTTGGGTTCACACGAGTCCTTTAGAAAATTCCCAGTCTTATTTCATGGCTCCCTGAGGACAGGTTGTTAGAAGCAGGGCACACACTATTTGTTGATAGATGAGTCTACCGAAAGAGAAACGAGAGTTCGCGTGAGCTGAACATCACTTATGACAGTTGTGTTTGCTTTTCCACTGCTTGAGGGCCCGAGGCCATGTTCTCTGTTTTTAGCTGCCCAAATGCTGAGCACCTTTCTCTCCCTCCCTTGTGAGATGCTGGGTCATTGGGCCTCTCAGGATCCTGCCTGACCTCTCAGCGCTGTGTCATCCGTGTGTGTGTGTGTCTTCCACAGGTCTTTCCCAGGGAGATCATGAACTACACCGCCGAGAACATCTGTACATGGGCCTTAGAAAACCGTGAGATGCTTTTTCGGTGGCTGCGGCCGCACGGCGGCAAGAGTCTTCTGCTGAATAATGAACTGAAGAAAGGACCGGCACTGTTTTTATTCATACCTTTCGATCCCCTCGCAGAAAGCCACCCTTTAATAGATGAGGTAAGAGTCATCGTGCTCAGTAGGGCCTTGTCCATCTGTCTGTTGCTTATGGAGCAGGGAAACCTGCTTCACGTCGGCTGTTTTCTCTCTTTCCACACCCAGAGGCCTTTACAGTGGCCTCTGTGTCTTGACAGTGTGACACTTTCCTTCTATGAATGAGCAGGAGGGAGGGGCCCCAAAGCCCACGCCCAGGGTAGCCTAGGGTAGGGACGGCTGCCGCCTCCCTGGCCTCTGGGGGTCATGGGGCATAAGGACAAGGAAAGCAAAACCAGGCCTTGCAGGGAAGCCCATGCATGCCTCTTCATAAGGGGACTGCTAGGAGCCTCCCCTCTGGAGGTGGGGCAGGGAGAATGGCAGAGACAGGGCAGGGTTTAGGTGGCTGAGGAAATGCCATTGTTGGGGGTCTGAGCGTCCTCTGGACAGTGGGAAAGAGGCAACCAGCCCACTGCCTGGAGCAGCTGTCCCTACCGTGCGGTTAATCAGAGGCGTTCCCCAAGACCTCTACTGCCGAGTGCTTGCCCCTCATCTGGGGCACAGCCTCTCTGGGTGAGAGTTTATTTTGTACATGGATCATTTGGAGGCACTTAGAGCGGTAGCAATCAGCAGAGGGAGCCAAGGCTTGCTAAATTGGATTTACTGAGGTTCCTTTTTTTCCTGCCCTCAGGGATGCCTTAATTGACCCCGATCACTTTCAGAAGCAGTGTAGCCCTCACCAGGCTCCGCCAGAGCCTACACTCTGCTGGCCCAGAGTCCTGTTGTTAAAAGCTCCTACCCCTGCTGGGAAATCTTCTCAATGAATGGTGTTCTGCTGGGAAGGGAAGAGATGCAATAGCTTTGTTTCTTCTCTAATTAGAAAGCACTCGAGGTCATAAAACTTCATTTCTTTAGATAGTCTTTGCTACGTGGATGTTTATGAACTAGAATATTCTCCCAGGCCTTTACTCTATCGAATACTAAGAGCCTTCAAGCCAGATTCAGAAGAGGACGTGGAACGAGGGAACGAGGGATATCATTGCCAATGTCAGATGGACCATGGCTGACAGCAGACAATACCAGAAAGATGTTTACCTGTGCTTTATTGGCCACACAAACACTTTCGAGTGTGTGGGTCATGACAAGCTATGGACAACATTTTGAAAAGAGTTTTTATTGTGAATTGAGTGATAGTTTACATGGGGGAACATCAGTTTTACACTCATTCTTTCGTCTTCATTTCATTACAATGATTACAATCCCCTGCATGTTTCTTCATTCAACAGTATTTGAATGATGTATTTGCTTCTATTCCCTCTGTTGTGTTTTTGTTTTTTTTTGGATGTGCACCAAAACATTCAGGAATGTACAGTCATTCAAATAGCCAAAGAGCACACCCCGTAAGCCTGCCCCCCAGCTGCCAGCACACATCCCCTCTCCCTCCATGAGTCTAGAGTCCTCAGCTGCTCCGTCTCTCCATGTCATCAGCTTTGCCTCCATCTCTGGCGCTGCCACTTCTCTGGGTAGGGTCCCACACTCTGCACCTGCTCTTCTTCCTTGATGGTCCCAGGGTCCTCCACTCTGGGACTGTAAGATCGACAACTCACCCCTTTTTGCTACAACACTTTTACCTTTACAGTTGCTACAATTGCCATTAGTCATGATAACAGTTACTCGCTGTTGAATCATGAGAGTCTTGTTATGAACAACATTTTGGAGAATTGAGTATTCCGGAACACTTACTTGTGCTCATTTGAGGAAACTGTACAGAGACCAAGAGGCAGTTGTTTGAACAGAATAAGGGATCACTGAATGGTTTAAAATTAGGAAAGGTGTGTCCCAGGGTTGTGTTCTACAACCATACTTACTTAATCTGTGTGCTGAGCATATAATCCGAAAGCTGGATTATATGCTCAGCACACAGATTAAGTAAGTATGTGACATCAGGATTGGAGGACGACTCGTTAACAACCTGTGCTATGCAGATGATACAGTCTTTCTTGCTGAAAGTGAAGAAGGCTTAAAATATTTACTGATGAAAATCAAAGAACACAGCCTTGGGTATGGGAAGCACCTCAGTGTAAAGAAAATAACAGTCCTCAGCACTAGGCTATTAAACAACATCTATATAAATGGAGAAAAGACTTCATTTTGCTCGGATCAGCCGTCAACACTCATGGAAGCAGCAGTCAAAAAATCAAATAACGTATTGCATTAGGCACATTGGCTGCACAAGACCTCTTTAAAGTGTTGAAGAGAAAGATGTCAGTTTGAGAAGGAAAATGCACCTGACCTAAGCCCTGGTGTTTTCAGTAACTTCATATGCGTGTGAAAGTTGGACAGTGAGTAAGGAAGGCTGGAGAAGACTTGATGCATTTGAGTTACGTTGTTGGAGGAAAATATTAAAAGTACCATGGACTGCCAAAAGAACAAACAGATCTGTTTTGGAAGAAGTGCAGTACGCCAGAGTGCTCTCTGGACGCCAGAATGGCCAGACTTCATCTCTCGTACTTCAAACATATTGTCAAGAAGGACCAGTCCCTGGAGAAGGGTATCGTGTTTGGTAAAGTGGAAGGTCAGCAGAAAAGAGGAAGACCTCCAGCAAGATGGATGGGCACAGTGGCAGCAGTAATGGGCTCAAAAATAGTAACAATTGTGAGGTTGTTGCAGGACCGGGCAGTGTTTTGTTCTGTTGTGCATAGAGTCACTATGAGTCTGTACTGACTCGATGGCACCTAACAACAACAAAAACGCCTTCAAACTCCTTGTAGGAAAAGTGAGGTTTTCAGCTAAAGTGGTGGCTCTGGTTATGCATTTTCACTTGCACTTGTGAAGCATTCTGCCTGGTCTGGGTTGGGGGTGTCAGGGTCATGGGCAGGGTGCTGATGTGTGGCACGAGCTCAGTTCTTCTGTTCCGTGGATATGGTTGGATTTAGGGACCAGACCTTTGTTTGCAACTGAACATCTCCCCTGATCCTCCCATCTCCACCTGCAGACAGACCTCCTTTAGACTGTGGCTTTGCTTGTGGCTCCTTCCCTCTGGACTCAGTGTCCCTGTCACATGGGTGGAATTGATGAAAACCACTCGGTGTCTTAGTAGTATTAAGAATTGTATCTGTGTGTAAGTTTCCCTCTTCATTTCAGGTCAGGTTAACAAATATTTAGTGAGCACTGTGGTAGGGAGATCTGTGTTGGAGGAAGTGCAGCCAGTGTGCTCCTTGGAGGCCAGGATGACCAAACTTTGTCTCTCATACTTCGGACATACTGTCAGGAGGGAGCAGTTGCTGGAGAAGGATACCATGTTTGGTAAAGTGGAGGGTCAGAGAAAAAGAGGAAGACCCGCAGCAAGCTGGATTGGCCAAGTGGCAGCATCAATGGGCTGAAGCGTGGCAACAATTATAAGGTTGGCCCAGGACCAGGCAGTGTTTCGTTCTCTTGTGCGTAGGGTCGCTATGAGTCAGTACCTATTTGATGGCACCTAACAACAACAACTGGGGGAGTGGAGTACTGGTGGGACTTTGTTGAATCAGCACTGCGCTGCTAACCTCAAAGTTGTTGGTTCAAACTCATCAGTTGCTCCTTGGGAACCTTGTGCAGGATCACTATGAGTCAGAGTATACTCGATGGCACTTAACAACGACAACAATGGTAAGGAACAAGAGCAGAGAAAAGAGGTAGAAGATCAAGACTTGTCCAGTAGGATGAATCCAAACCCACTGCCATCAAGACGGTTGTGACTCATAGTAACCGTACAGAAGAGAGTCTGACTGCCCTGGACAGTTTCCACAGTTGTTAGTCTTCGCAATGATGGCTGCCACGTCTTCTCTTAGGGAGCATCTGGTGATTTGAACCACCAACCTTTTGGGTTAACAGCCAGCTGCTTAACTACTGTGGCAATCAGGCCTCCTATAGGGAAACAGGAGCCTGCTTATCATTCCAGGTAGAGAAGGTCAGCCCTAGGCCCAGCATCAGGACTAGGCCAGTTGGGGCTGGGCAGGAAAGGACTTAAAGCGACTTTGGAGCCGAGGGTGTTGGAGATGGACCTCCCAGGGTCACCAAGATCTCGGTGAATTGAGAGAAACTGCAGGGAAGGCACAGCTTGAGCAAAGGCTCAGGGGTGGGGGACAGATGGAGCAGCTTTAGGAACTAGGAGTCATACAGGTTGTGTGGTCAGTGCGCTCCAGAAAGGGCTGCTTGGAGGAAACTCAGAAGAAGCTTTTGGAAGGAGGGTGCTGGGTACTGCTTTGAGGGTCTCAGGATTAACCGTAGCCATCCAGGTCTTCCTGACAATGAAAAGGTGTGCCCAGAGCTGGGTTGTCTTGGCAGTGGTGTTTCGGACAGTGAGAAGTCGCAGGGCCAGAACCTGAACTCAGATGATGGTAGTGGGGATGAGGGGGGAGCAGGGTCTGTGGGAAGTAGTGACAAGGAAGTTGTTGGGGGTTTGGGTGCAGTGGAAGGAGATAAACGCTCTAGTCACACAAGTCACACAAGACAGCCTTCTTTTTCTGTTACCACCTTTACGCCTAGTTGATGGCAGAAAGTTGAAGAAGCTGCATTGTTGAGATGGAATCGGAGGCTTGGCCAGTGAGGACGTTTGAAACAGTTAGGCAGTTACCCTGGCCAGGTTTCATTCTCATGAATCACAGACCCCAGTCTCCCAGTTCTGCCCTCCCCCCACTGTACCTCAGCATCAGACCCCCCTCCTTCCGCCTCTCACGGACGTCCCCTGTGTTTCAGATCACCGAAGTGGCCTTGGAGTACAACAACTGTCACGGAGACCAGGTGGTGGAGCGCCTCCTCCAGCATCTGCGGCGGGTGGACGCGCCGGCATTCCAGTCATTGGCACCCGAGCTGCCAGCCCAGCTGCCAGACCCCCCGCGAATCAACACGTCACCACGTCACCCTGCTGCAACACTGTGGTGCTGCCCCAGTGGCGTGCCATCTCCAGGACCCACAACGTGTGTGAGCTGTGTGTCAACCAGACCACAGGGGGCATCACACCCAGCTCGGTGGGCGGGCCGCCCTGCAGCTTTTTTGAGATGGCGGCAGCTCTGGATTCCTTCTACCTCAAGGAGCAGACCTTTTATCATGTGGCATCAGACAGCATCGAGTGCAGCAATTTTTTAAGTTCCTACAACCCTTTCAGCTACTACTCTGCATGTTGCAGGACCATCAGCAGGGGCGTGCCAGGCTTCATTGATTCTGCACAAGAGGCCTTTGAAAGCCCAGCCATCTCATTCTCCTCCCTCGAGAAGAAATGCGAGGCTGACTCCCCGAGCTCCGTTCCTCACATTGAGGAGACCCGGTTCCTCTTCCCCGAAGTGCTGGACGTGGGTAGCACACTCTTCACGGGTCTCAGCTGCAGAACCAACAAGACCCTAAATATCTACCTTCTGGATTCCAATTTATTTTGGTTATATGCAGAGCGGCTGGGGGCGCCAAGCGTCACTCGCGCCAAAGAATTTGCTGCCATTGTGGACGTGAAGGAAGAGGCTCACTATATCTTGGACCCCAAACAAGCTCTTATGAAGTGCACCCTAGGTACTGTAGGCGGTTCTGCTTCCCCAGGCCCCGTCAGGTGTGCGTATTGTAGGTAACTTTGATGTAGGGTCTTGGTACACTGGTAGAGAGAGTACAGTGGGGACTCTTGGGCTTTACTTTATCTGTAGATTCCAACTGGTCACTCTGTTACCAGTCGCCAGTTCAGTCTATTAAATGGAACAAACAGTTCCTCAGTCCTAGTTCTAGAGACATTTGTCATTTGAACAATGCTGTTGTATAACCTCGAGTACCTACCAGTAAATGAAGGTCACATGGCACCCCACAGGAATCACCTTTGGGGTGAAGGGCCCATGACGGGAACACATCCAAGCTCTTGCCCTTGGGGCTTGGCAGCAGCAGTGAGGTAAACTGAGCTATCCTGGTCCCAGGACTCTGCCGCCATCCGCAGTGACACACACTAAGAAGTGAGGATTCAGAAGCTGAGGTGGAAACCCAGGTGGCAGTCAGTGTTTGCCAGATACAGGGGATTCGGCAGGAAGCTTTCTCTTTTCCTACGTAGGACAGTATGAAAGGCCAGACCCCTAAAGCCCTTTTAACAGTTCTCCTGAAGTACAGGCGAGGCTTGTGGGGTACGACAGACACATTGTAAACGGATGGAGGTAAATATTACGAATTACATCAGATTATATCAACACTGAGGCACCTTGGTGTTTAATGAAACCCTGTGATCATTCACTGTAGGAAGTACCGAAGGATTTATGTGGCACATTACTTCCATTATTTGTTATTTCCATTGTATTAGTGAGGGTTTCTAAAATTACATTTTGGTGGGCTCGTATTCAGTGTGAGTTTTCTTAAACTGAAACAAGGCTGTATATTGGAAGGCTCTGTTTGTTGGATTTTTCTGAGCTCTGTTCAGTTGTACTCAAAACTCCCATGAGACCACAGTACATTCAATAACTTGGCATTCAAGCGTCATCTGAATGGTTCATTCAGATTACTTTTAGTCTTCTAAATCCACCCAACCCACTTCTCCATTGCCCTGTCATTGGTAACAAAATTTGAAGGGCCTTTGTTAAGAAAACAGAAAGAAACCATTCACTTTATGATGTGGTTGGTTCGGAATGGATTCTAAAGTCAGCTGACTCTAGGGCAGAATTTAGGTTTCATTCAGATTAGGAAATAGTTCTTGGTTTTATGTTTCAAAAACACAGCCACAAGAAGGAGGTGTTATTCAGATGCTGCTAATACGGCCTCTTCAGTATTCACAGGGCATTCATTCTTCACATCCAGTCCGCCACTGTTTGCTAAGACCTCAGAGTGGAGGGAGCTGGAAGAAAGAAAAAGGAGACTCCCGATGAGGCCAAGGAAGCACAGGATGGTAGTGGCCGTGGGGCGGAGAATCTGTTAGCTCCCATTAGGTTTTTGGGATGACTTGAATTATCCATGGGTTTTATTTATGTACTTTTCCCATTAAATATAATTGAGTTTATTGTTTTTTAACCTGAAAAAAGAGAAAAATCGGAATAAGGAAATGGCCCACATCATCCCTGTCTTCCACATTATCTGAGTTACCGTCCGTGGAGTGAATTCCTGTCTCAGCCGGGCTTGATGGCTTTGTTCAGGGTTTTGCCTGTACGTGAAGCAGGAAAAGGGTGAGCCTGTGAAGCCACCCATTGTTGAAAAGCTACTCTACTCGCAGTATACCAAGAGAAGACTTGATCCCTCTTTCTCTCTGTTTGTAGAGTCTTTTATTCAGAACTTCAGCGTTCTCTACAGTCCCTTGAAAAGGCATCTGATTGGCAGTGACTCGGCCCAGTTCCCTTCTCAGCATTTAATCACTGAAGTGACAACCGATACCTTTTGGGAAGTAGTCCTCCAAAAACAGGTATGGAGTTGCGAGAGCAGCACAGATTGAGCCATCTGCCTCTTAACGCACATCATTTCTGCAGACACAGTGTTCTTGAGGGACAGGAGTGAATTACATGGCGAGTTTCTAATAGTTAGAAGTTCTCAAGAACGTATGTCATTGGAAAGATCTAAGATGAAACTTTTTAATCCTGATTCCCACAGTAGGCAGCGGGTAGGCAATGCCTGCCGGGTGCAGTGAGGCGCTCCAAGTAACGGTCTCTGTCCTTTCCCACAGGACGTGTTGCTGCTTTACTATGCACAGTGGTGTGGCTTCTGTCTGTCCCTCAATCACATCTTTATCCAGCTAGCTCGTCTCCTGCCAGCAGATACCTTCACAGTGGCAAGGTAAGGGGGCTGCTCTCCACTCTCTTGGGTAAGACGTGTGTCAGCTTCAAGCCTGAGTTTTCTCAGTGAATTTTGAATGTTTTCTTCCCTTGATGTCGGTGTGTGAGCCCTGATGGGATTTCTAGGAGAGTTCTGCAAGAGGAGCCCCACTCCCATGCCTCCCCACACCATGGCCCATTCCTTGGGATGCCCTGTGCGGAGCCTGGGCCCAGCTAGCTGGATAGGGGCGGCCTGACCCAGAGGCCTTGACAGAGCTCCCCACTGAGCTGAGCCTCCCTCCTCATCCTCCTTGTCAGTAAAGTGAAGAGGAGGAGGTGTTGGTTGCCACCCAAGTGTTGTAGTTTTGTGAACTCATGGGTACTATATGAGAGCTTTTGAACAAACAAAAATATTTTCAGTAGTTTTTTAGAGAAAGGGATCAAAGAGTTTTTTTTTTTTTTTTAATAAAGTAGTAACCAGTTTCAGGGAGAGAATTATTTGGATTTAAGCCTTACCTTCCACCCCCCTGCAGCCCCCCACCCCCAATATATGTTAGAATTAACTATAAAAGCTCCAATCTCAGGAAACAGCAGAAGACAGAATATTGAATTTGTTAGTTCCTTTGTGAGGGAAATTTGTCAAAGTAGAAGCAGATGGAAAAATAAAGACGACTAGATGCCACTAAATAAAGTACAAGAAAAAGACAAAACAACAAAAGAGCAATAATTACATATTGTTGTGAAGTGCCATCGAGTCAGTTCCGACTCATAGCGACCCTGTATAGGGTTTCCAAAGAGTGGCTGGTGAGCTTGAATCTCCGACCTTGCAATTCAGACCAACTTTGCTATCCGGAGCATTAACCCACAGGGTCAGGACTCCAACTACACATTACAGCATCCATAATTAACCTGCTTTATATACTTTGTGTAACAGTCAGCCAAATTTGAGGACTTACTGTTCTGATGTCACACTTAATCCTCCCAGTGCTCTGGGAAGCAGGTACGATTATCACCTGTGGGTAAGGAAACTGAGGCATAGCGAGGTTAAATACCTTGTCCCGTCACACGATTGCTACATGGGAGGGACCCAGGATTCAGAAGCAGGACTTGGCACTGGAGACTCTGCAGAAATCAGATGGTTTTAGAAACAGCTGAGAAAGGGACCAAAGGACATTAACTGATTGTTCATGTAAGAAGAGAGAGTAAATAAGCAAGCGGGGAGGTTATAACCTAATACGTGTAAATTAAAGCAGCAAAGTGGCATGTGTACATTGTGAGCAGGAATGGCTTTAAATGACGGTACATGTGTAAGTCCACTAAAGTAAGATTGATGCCGTTGGCCGTTGTTAATGTCGTGAGTGCATTGGCGTCACTTTTTAGAAAGCATTTTAGTAATATTTTCAGGAAATTACAGGAACGTGTGTGTGTTTTTGAGCCAGTTAATTTCATGTGAAATCCTGGTGTGATGCTCTAAGATAAGCTCTGGACTGCTAACTACAAGGTCAGCAGTTCACGCCTTAAAACTCTGTACAAAGTTGCTAGGAGTCGCAAATACCAATATGTACTTAACAACATCCACAATTTCCCTTTGGGGAATGAAGGCAATAGGAATTCAGAAGAAGGCTGAACTGACCATGACAGTAGGATCTACCCAACAGGAAGGAACAGGGGCATTTGATGGAATTTCTCTCCATCCATTAAAACAGCCCTTTTCATCTGTGAGTTGACTAAGTATGAAATATGCATGATTGTTGTTGTTAAGTGCCATCAAGTTGGTTTCGACTCATAGTGACCCTGTCCAGCCTGATGAGTGGCTGGTGAATTTGAACCACCAACCTTGTGGTTCACAGCAACCTTGAGGTCCAGTGCATTATCCCACAATGCCACACCAGGACTCCGAAATGTATGATATTACAGCCCTGGTAGCGTAGTGGTTACGAGTTGGGCTGCCAAACTCAAGGTCAGCAGTTCAAAACTACCAGCGGTTCCATGGGAGAACGATGAGGCGTTCTGCTCCCGTAAAGATTTACAGCCTTGGAAACCCTGTGCAAGGTCACTATGAGTCGGAACCGACTCCATGGCACTAAATAACAACAACAACAACAACACAAATACATGTCACACCAAACCTGAGCAAGAGTTCTGGAATGAGGTCATTAGTAGCCCAGTGGAATTTGGAGTGAGTTTTTACGATGTTTTTCTCTTTCATTTCATAGTTTGGTCTTTCTTTGAAGTGAAAGTGAAACGGGAAAAAGACTTTGGTTATAGAATGTAGCATTCGGTTGTTTTAAAAAATGCAATCCCTGGTGCTTCAGAAAGGCTGTCATAGACAGAGACAACAGCACCGAATAGCTAGTAAAGCCATGGAAAATCATTGTAGTTCGGTTGTGTTACCCCCCTCCCTGCCCTGGTCAGACTCTCTGAAAGCTTCCATCCAGTCAGTGATTCACAATGTGTCTGCCTTTTTGTTGGTACTGTTGGTGAATGTCAGGAAGGCTGGGCCCCTGGCAGGGGTGAGTGCTTGCCTCCCCCCGGGAGTGTCCCAGTTCCCCCCTGCCCCCAGCAGCTCTTCAGTGCTGGAGGGAATGTGACAGTGACTGAGAGCAGCTTGAGCAATTTAGGACTCATCTAGAGTCGCTAAGAAAATACATGTTTTTGGCTCTTTGTCCAAATTTACAAAATATAGAAAATAAGGTTTCATACCCTCCTCCATTTCCTCCATCTCCCCCATTTCCTCCCTTCTTCCCTGAGGCTTGGTGTGGTTCACTCAGACATAATGATTCCCTTCCTTTTGCCAAAAGCCAAACGACACGGCCAGATCCTGTCGGGGAGCAGACTGCTCTTTATGGCGGTCTGTGATGCATTCTGGGAAGTTCATTTTCACTTCAGGACCATGACAGTGGTGCTCAGTGAACTCACTGGTGAGCAGCCACTCAGGAGCCACTCCAGTGTGTGGTGGAGAACGCTCCTGGCCCTTCACCTATCGGAGAAAGTGCTCTCGAGTTAGCGTTTTCTTAGGCTGCTCTTTGACCTTCTCTGCTTAGTCTCGTTTTCCTTTGACAGGATCAACGTAGCGCAGAACGATCTCCCTTGGGAATTTATGGTTGACCGTCTTCCTACCGTCCTATTTTTTCCCTGCAACAGGTAATGCTATATTTATCTGATACTCAGGTTCATAGGATTCTTTTGTTGAGGTCTAAAAATGACATGGATTTAAGATACTTCAGGAAAGTACAGTGTAAATCATATTTATTAGAGTTGTCAGACTGATACGGTTTTACTATCCTGAGTGAAATAAATGTATTGTCCAAAAATGTGCCATTAGGGAACAAAATGGGTAAAAAGGCTTTTGTGTCGAGTTCCTTGGTGTTTGTTAAGAGCCTGCTCCTTGCAGTCTTTTTCTGATACGAGCATTAACGTGGCCGCCAGAGCTCAGTTAACTTTTGTAGCACCGAGGATGCCGAAATGACCAGAAGGCACTCCACATGTTTGCAGAAAAAAACAACCGCTAATCTCTTGAGCGTTATGGGATGCCAGGCCCTGCCCACCCCAGGCTTTTTACCTTCACCCCATCTGATGTAGTCCTCACAACCACCACCTCATCTCTGCTGTAAGAGAAGGACTGCACCGCCCTGCCTTCCCCCTAGGTGCAGACTGCCCCCGGCATGTATGCCTCGATTGCCCCACATCTGAATAAAGGATTCCAAGTTCAGGTATTCCAGCAAGTAGTCTGACAACCCCAGCAAGCAAAGATGGGCATGAGCCCAGGGGAAGTCAGCCTCACAGATAGTGAACGGGGGTGTGAATGCTTTGCCCTTTAAAACCCACCAGACTGACTGTGTCCTCCCTCCTTGCAGATTCCTGTTGTTTTTAGGAGGATGGGTACTTTCAGGGACCCTGTCACGTTGCTCTGACAGCACCCTATTAGAGGGACGAGCAATTGCAGGACCACTTGAGTTTGGCTCCTACTTCCCACGAGTGCCGACTGCTGTTCTAGTTGCGTGCGTCCCTTTGACGGTTTATTTCAGCTGTTTTCCGTGTTGCTCCATGAGAGGGCTTCCTTCATATACATGGAGTCATTTCCTCAGATTGTGCTTGTTATCTCAAAGAACTGTCTCTGGAATTCGTCTTTCGCTAGCAGGGTTCTGTCAAATCACGCACTAAAAACAGAACGTGACTCACCCATTCTGCTGACTGCCATGACGAGCTGTTTTCTTTCTAAGAAGTGTGTAAAGAATTGCCACATAGTCAAGGCACTGTAGACACAGTGTTGTCTGTGTGGGACAGAGGCTGGGCATGGAGTTAAGTGAAGGGTAATTTTAGAATCCCAAATACAGCTGGAAGAAGTCGATTTTCAAACATGTTGTTCAAGTCATAGCATCCAGTACGTGTCTGTGCAAGGAGAAGTCTCCAGCACATGGGATGAATGACTAGCTACTGAAAATGAGAGAGACAGGCATGGGATGGGGGTGGTGGTTCCCGGGGTGGGGGGCATGAGGGAGGTGTTCACTGGACAGGCACTGCAGCCTGTACCCCTTTCCCAAATCAGGAAGGTCAGGAATGTGTGAGGACAGAGTCTCAGAAGATGTCAGATTCCACTGTAATGGGAAGAGCTGGGTAAAGCAAAGGCAGGCTGGCTTGTCCATTACTGTGACCATTTCTTATCTCCTGTCATTGATGTCAGGAGGGAAGTGACTGTCGTTGGTTGGCTCAACAGTGAATGTGTGGTTTACCTGGAAGGTAAATGGGCAGAGAGGATGGAAGCTATCAGCTCACAAAAGGAGATGAAAAAGAATTTTTGGTAACCTGTTCTAAGACATGTTTCAGAATCCCTGTGCACTTTGAGTGGAAGGAATATACAATTGGATACATGCTGTGATGAAACAAACATGCGCGTGCATAGGGTTAAAAGTGTGCGCAGGAGGCCTGTTCAGGTGTTGACAGTGGTGACTTAGGAGGAGTGGGGGTCACCAGTGCTTTGGGGGGCACTTTGTGTGCAATTTATGTCCCTGCGAATTGTCTACAGTGAGCTCACCCTACTCTGTAATCAGAGAGGAGAGAGACCGCGAGGAAGAGCCCGTCCTCTGGCACTCATGTGTCCTGGCCCCATCCTGCTCCTGCTTCCAGACTCCCCCCAGAGACGGGTTAGAGCCAAGTTCCTAGTAAGGGCCCTCCCTGCGTCAGCCTCAGTGTGGCATTTCAAAATGTGGGGGTCCAAGTGGCAGGGCCAGGGGGTGTGCACTCCCCCAAGACAGCAGTGTGTAGCTCCTGTTAAAGACCCTCACCCACCTCAGCATGTTGGTCCCTGCTCCTGAGTCTTCGCTCTATGACCCCCTTCTAAGCCTGGCTATTTATGTGCTAACCAGCTGTTGAGGAGTACAGCTGCTCCCTGGGGTAACTGTTTGCCCCACCCAGGGACCCCCTTTACCTGCAGGAGGTACTTAAACATCCTCCTAGCGAGTTGAGGTCGTCACGTGAGCAGTGGGGCCACTTGACAGGACACATTGGGAATGACCACGTTCTTAGGAGAGATCATGCGGGATTAGGTGGCGTGGTGGGCGCTGTGCAGTATTATGTCTACAGCTGTGTCTGCAGCACCCGTCTCTCCTCTAGAGACTGAGCTCATGCTGCAGGCAGAACCGGGGCAGCCTCTCAGCCTGTCCTAACCCTGCTCCAGGGGCCAACATGTACGGCTGACTGTGAGAGGGGGCCTCAAAAAGTTCTTTATCTAGGAATTCCATTTTTCTATGTACTTTTTGAAGCCCCCTCGTCATTTCCTAGTGGGTTTTAGTTGATAAGTAAGTGTTGTTGTGTTAAGGGCCGTCGAGTCACTTCCCACTCAGCAACCCTCTATGGGGTTTCCAAGGAGTGGATTTGAACCACCGACCTTATGGTTAGCAGTTCAGTACTTATCCTAGAGCGCTACACCAGGGGTGGTGGTGGTGATGGGCCATGGAGTCGGTTTCGACTCATAGCGACCCTGTACAGGGTTTCTGAGGCTGTAAATCTTTACGGGAACGGAAACCCTCACCTGTCTCTTGCAGAACGGCTGGTAGTTTCAAACTGCTGACCTTGCAGTTCACAGCCCGCTTCGTAACCACAGTGGTTACTCATTAAATAGAACACCTTTGGGCTGTCTTAGGTTAGTAAGGGCCGCTGTGTGTAAGCCTTAATGATTGGGTTCTTGGTTTTTTCCATTTTTTTTTTTTTTTTTTAAAGGTAACATTCACTGACCATCACTTACCTCCTCTAACCCTCACCAGTGCACTGAGGTAGGCGATGCTTTTGCGGGCATTTCACAGATGTGGTCCGTCAGGAGAAGAGAGATGTGGCTGAGCTAGTCATCCCACCGGCAGCCTAGCTCTGGAGTCCGGCTCCCATGCACCCTTTAGTACTGTGGTTACTGACAGGCCTCTGTTGGTCTGCCTCGTGCATAAAGCTGGTGGTTTTGATCGATTGAGGCTGACTTGTGTGTGCACAGATGTATCTGTGGTAGAGACTTGGGTTGTCAGACAATTAAACGGCAAGTTCTAAAAAGGAATTTTCTAAATCGGGACTTACCACCAAGCTCTGGGGGAAAGCGCTCAGCGGGCTCTCGCCCCTCCTTCCTCATTCTGTGCTGAGGGGCCTGCGGGTCAAGTCAGGCCGCCTTGTTCTTGTTAACTCTTACTGCAAACTGAGCAGTGGTCTGCCGAGCAGATCACCAGCTGTATAGTCCACCAGTCACACACTTCGTCTCATCACTCATCCCCTCCCTGTGTGCCCTGCTTCCCTCCTCCTCCTCCAACCTTTCTGAGTTTTATCCATGGGTAAATGCTGCCCATTTGAGCTTGAATCATTGACCATTCTGTGGTGTGCATGCCTCCCTAGTGGTGGTACTTCTCCTGTAGACTTGTCTAGGCTTGGCTGAAAATTGAGGCACGGGGGTGACCAATGGCCATAGCCTGGGGTTCCTCTAGTCTCTGATTAATAGCCTGGTCTTTAAGATTTTGAATTGTGTTCCACATTTTCTCCTACTCTATCCAGGATCTTCTGGTGTGGTTCCTTTCAGAGCAATTGGTAGTCGGAGCTGGGCACCGTCTAGTCCTGCTTTCAGAGAGTCGTGGAGACAGATGGTCACATGGTTCATTGGATTAATTGACTCTAAGCAACATCAGTTTTCATCACTCTTCTATCCTCCACACAGGGAGAGATGAATGTTGTACCTTAGCTGGCTGCTTACAAGCTTTGAAAAATCTGTTGTTACTCACTGAAGCAGGATGTAGAAGTTTGTGTTCGGATGCGTTAGTTAGCTCACCTTCACAGAGAACCACCCGAAGCTGACTTCCTGTAGCCACACAAGCCCTGAAGAATCATGTCAGTGAAGGCTCAGGATCTCTCTTACAATGAGAGCACATCCTCCTTAAAGCCCCCAGTGCATCATCCTGCCAGGGTTTGGATGACGGCACGGTGAAGTGTGACTGACTGTCCTTGTGCACTTTGACGAAGCAGTAAAAACGTGTTCCCTGCAGACGACTCACACATTTTACCAGCTGAAGTCAGGGACTGCGGGACTAGGATGACTGTTCCCTTTGATGGGTGGGGCTACTCCAGGGACCTGGAAGGCACTTACTCAGGTCATATTCCGTTGCCCCTGCTGACTGCCAGTCCGTCTCTGGAATGTCTTGTCTTGGTTAGACGTTGCAGTCCGGCCTTGGACTGAAAACATTGTCGTGCTCATGACTGCTTTTTTTCCTCTACAGAAAGGACCTAAGTGTCAAATACCCTGAGGATGTCCCCATCACTCTCCCGAATCTGCTCAAGTTCATCCTGCATTACTCCAGCCCCATGTCCACTGCCCAGAGCCTGGCCAGCGCCCCTACCAAAGACTGTCTGCAGAGCGAGGCTGCCCTGCAGCAGGGGCACATCTCCCATCTGGAGCGGGAGATCCAGAAGCTGAGAGCGGAGCTGGGTGCCCTTCACCGCGTGCAGGTGCAGGTGGAAGTTCAGTTGGCCGGCGCCCGCAGGGACGAGCACCGGCTGCTCCGGCAGAAGCAGACCCTGGAGGACCAGCACCAGCTGCTCCGGCAGCACAGCTCACAGCTGCAGACTCTGTACCAACAGAAGACCCGAGAGCTCGAGGAAGTGGCCCGCAAGCTGCAGGAGCTGGCTGACGCCTCTGAGGACCTCCTCACCGAGAACACATGGCTCAAGATCCTGGTGGCCACCATGGAGAGGAGGCTGCAGGACAGGGGCAGTGCCAACAAGCTCGCTCCCCCACAGAACCCCGAGGAGCCTGCAGGTGCCCCCCGGTTAACGGGCAGCACCCCACCACCCTCCAATGACAGTGCCACTCTGGTGGCCGAGAGGAGTAATGACAACAGGACAGACTGACTTTATATAAAGATGTGAAGAAATCAGAGGGGAAAACTCCACACTGGGAATCTATTTATGCAAATTTTATTGAAATTTATTGTAAATAAAGATTTTCTCAGTGGTCTAGAAAATCTGCTTGAATGTCTTTCAGCTTTCTCCTCCAGCCCTCCCCCTTATTGCACAAACTTGAGAGCTTTGAGACCACAACAGTAGCACAGCCCATATGAAGAGTCATCTGAAAAAAGTCCAGATTGCGCAGCTCAGTGTGGAGTTCCCTCCCGGCCCCCTCTGCTCAGTTCCTGTCACTTCTGCTATGGGACAAAGGATGAAACGCTGGTTTCTTAACTAGTCAGAAAACTTGAACATGAGGGCTGGCTATTCAGAAAGAATTCAACAAGAGGTGAAATCTTACTAAGCCGTTGGTGTGTGGCTCGGGTGTCTACACAGGAAAGAAAAGCTGCCCTTGATAAATACCATTTCGGGCTATCATGTGGGAGCTGACCAGTGGGGACAGGCCTTGTCATCTTTTTCCCAGAACCCCCTTCCAGGCACTACCAACTGCTATTCCACCCCTGGCAACCGGCAGCTGGGGTACAGGACAACCCCCAAGAGCAAAACTGACGAGAAAGCCAAGTCCAATGCATTTCAGGTACCAACCTTAATGAGTCTGGAAAATAAGCAGTGGGCATTCTTGGAGCGGGGGGTGGGGTGAAATCTGCTCAGAGGCAGAGAAAATGCAGATCCCTGGGTTCCTGTGCCAGACACCAGGGCACAAGGCCCAAACCCACAGCCCTTTCTAACTCGCCCCTACTGTACCAGCCACCCTTAGAAAGCAGACTACAGGGGCCTCCCAAGACCCCAGCTTATCTGGACCATCCCCACGGGGGCCAAAAGCACTCCATGGACCGGAAGCCCAGCTCTCAAGCTGTCCATTGGTGCTTTATTACCATGGAACCTTGAGAGCTGGAACACCACACAACTGCCTGGCTTTTCCGGGTCTCCCAGGTTCCCTACTGCGGACAGGGTGCAGTCCTGCTTACTGCTTTTCCATTGCTCATAAACACCCAGTGAGCTTGTCTAGTCTTGGATGAGCTTCCACCTTACCCAGATTTTAGCTATCACAGGGTCAGATGTGTTGCCTGAAGCCCACATTACCTCCCCTTCTCCATTCCCGACAAGCAATGACTGTATCTGCGCTCACTCCCTGTTCAAGTGTTCCCACAGTGCCTCCCACCCCCTCAGGGTCCTAAAAGGCAGACTCTAGGGCAACACGCTATTGGAGAAGTGACGGAGCAAGGCTGCAGGGAGGACCTCTCCGTCTGAGCAGGGGACCAGGCCTGGGAGCACCCTGCCCTCGCTGTTGGAAGGTGCTTGGCATTCCGGCCAGTGCTGGCTGCCTGCTCTCACCAAGGACAGGACATGAGGTTTAGAGCAGGTCCCGGAGTTGGGATTACCAGTCCGATGTGGACAGGGGGCCCCACAGAGGTGCAGGCTGCTGAGGTGCTGGCCTGACTGAGCCATCACTCCTCAGAGACCAAGTCTGACCCGAAACCCACCGTGCCAAGTCTGTGCCTATGGGGACTGGGGATCTCCTTCCAAGTCTGTGCCTATGGGGACTGGGGATCTCCTTCCAGCCCACGCAAAGTGACTTCCCACTAGTGCTCATGCTTTGGGCACGTCATGCAGTGACCCACGGAGGTAAGTAGAATTTGATCCCCGGTATGTGGGTGGTCATCCGAGGAAAACCAGAACATGTATGAGGGGAAGAGGTGGGCTAAAAAGACCCCAAGTCACTGACAATCCCCTCCCACTCCAGTGCAGAAAGTCTTAAAAATACAAAAACTCCCTAAATGTTTTGTTTCTCCTGGGCCACTTGGATCGTGGACTAAAAGGAGCTGCCACGGGCTCTGTGTTCCGACCAGGAGAGGACGGTTCTAGCGAAGCCTGCGCTAAGGGTGCTGGGTGGGGCGGGAATGGACAGGGGACACAGACACCGTGCTACATCTAAAGGGGAAAGAAACTGCTCGGCCGCTGGGACGCCCGGGCGCCTCAGGACTCGTGATCCTTCACCGGCTCCCAAGCAGGTACAGTAGCTTCCTTGCAGTATTCCAATTCCCAAAAGGAATTGGTACTTCACAACCGAATCCACCTAGAGGAGGGGCGTGTGTGGCTTCCGTTCACTGCTAACCAAGCAGACATCCCCAAAGCTCCCCAGCTGTTCAGTTACGAGCCTTCAAACTGACATGTCACTTCCTTTACGCGTACTCACACAATCACACACACACACACACACACACACTCAGCTCAGGCCTTCCAAGTCTAAGACCTTCCTCTGTCGTGTCGACTCGGCTCCTCATTAGTACAGTCAGAAGCACACCAGTTCCCTTGTGTTCTAGGCGGTTGGTTTCAATCATGAGTAAGAAGGCGTATGCACAGGCTTCCGCAGAGGCCTTATTTACAGTTCACAGGTTGCTTAGTTCACACGTTACAGTAGTAGTCCATCAAAAACAGGCTCAGCTCATCACTCAAGTAACAAAAGCGCTTTGGGGCCATGAGGCCCAGCGGGGTCAGGTCTGCCCACTGCCTGCAATGGGCAGCCCACCACAAGGCCAAGGGGACACCCAGGGCCAGCGGGTCCTGCCCGGGACTGGGATCAGTGCATGCAATGATGGAGCCTGCTGGGGCCATACCGGCCAGATGTCAACCTTTCCTCTGCGACAAGCAGCTCGTCCGGGGTTCCGCTCCACCCGTCGCCTTTCTGGTGGCTGCAAATAGGACGGGGAACCCTCCACGTGCCTGCTCAGCCGTGGACTTCCGGGCCGTTGGGGGTCAGCTTGGCCTTGCGCTCCACGCATGGTCCTTTGGCCGAGTACTGGACCAGGAGGAAGGGTTCCTTGGTCTCCCCATCGCCCACAATGCTCTCCTCGTCCTCTGACTGGCTGATACGCTGGAGCCGCAGGTAGCACCAGCAGCCCAGGATCAGGGCCCCCAGGGCGGCGATGGCGATGAGGATGACGATGACCGTGACCACGCCCGTGGTGGGGCTGTGGTCCATGATAGACATGATCAGCTGCTGGCGGGGGGGAGGGTCCCGTGGCAGGAATCTCAGGGACGGTTGGCTCAGTGAAGCTGGAGCTCGGAGTCCTGAAAGACAGAGCGGGCGAGGGTGAACCAACTGACTGGGTAGTGTCTTCCCCGGGGGGGCTCTAGTTTTAGTTAGTTTCCAAGCACGACCGCCCCACCTTCATCTTAGAGAAAGACCTACATCGCTGGGCTCCGGCATGGTCAGCATCCTCTGTTGCCCCCAGCCTGCTGCCCCTCACTACCTCAAACTCTCGAAAGCTCCATTAGAAGTAAGGCAGCCACCCTCACTACCCCCTGAAGCTGTGATACAAGTAGACACCAAGTCTGGCAGTGCAGAAACAGCAAGAGGGCGGAGGCTCGACTGGCCTGCCGATTCCAGGAGCCCCGGTGCATAGTGGGTGTGCGGTGGCCACTTGAGGACTCCAAGGAGCCAGCAGTTTCAAGATGGCCAGAGAAAAGGATCTGAACACAGGGATGTGACCTGTCCCTCTTGCCAACAGGCCGCAGTCCCTGTGGGATACCCAGGAGAGGGTGCAGCCGGAAACCATCAAGGGAACTGCAGTGGGCTCGGGCATACAACACACACCTGAAAGGGAGCTGGGCAGGAAGCACTGCGGAGTGGACAGAGGAAGTGTGTCTGGGCGACGGACGTGCTGGGGAGAAGACAAGACCCCTCCCCTGTATGGCAGAGTTCAGCATCCAGCGCCGAAGCCGAACCACAATCAGGTGGATATTTCAAAGCCTCTGTCACGATACAAATGGGGGTGTGGGTGTGGATACAAAACTGACTAGCAGGTCATGTTGTGAAGTTTGGGAGGGCCATCCTGATGCTGAAGCTATGGGAAGAACCTTGCTGGCATCGGGGTTCTGTTTGAGGCTCTGGGTGTCCACGTGGACTGTGGGTGAGTTTTAGGGCTGGAGGGGACCAGGAGGGGCTGAATCGTCAGCTGGTTTTGAAGGGGCAGGAGGAGGGAACAAGTCAGCAGCTGCCCATGGGATCACGTCAACAAATCCTTCACCTCACTGACCCCAGGACTCCCTCTCAACCTTCCAGGTCTCTCCCAGGAATACCCAAGGTCCAGCTACAGTGAAGACCAAGGCTTGGGCTGGTGGTACAGTAGGTTAAGCACTGGACTGCTAACTTCAAGATCAGCGGTTCAAGCCCACCAGCTGCTCTGAGGAAGAAGGCCGAAAGATCTGTTTCTGTGAAGATCTAGACTGAGACACTCTAAGGAGCCGTTGTAGCCTCTAAAGTCGTGAATGGAATTGGCGGGGGCTCGTGTCCCAATTGCTACCGCTCAGTTCTGAAGCCACAGAGCAGGAGGGGCCTGTGGTATCCAGGAGTCTGCCAACACCCAGGACGAGTCCCTCAGTTGTGAACACAGTTAACGGGTCAGCCTGCTGAATCACAGGTTGGAGGTTGCCTCTCGAAGAACGGCCCATGAAAACTTTTAAAATATCGGCCCATGAAAACCCTAGGAGCACAAGTCTACTGTGAGGCACGTAGGGTCACCATGCATGGACAAGACGTTCACGCCCGGCGTGGTTACTGGGATGAAGCGTTGGTGGCATGCAGTTACGGGGCTTTCTGCGGTAATGTCTGCAGCTTTCCTTTCAAAAAGGATGAGACCCACTGCGTCCTTAAGCAGCACAGCCGGAGTTAGAAAGGGTTCTTCTCCATACCAGGAGTGCCCTGACCTCACTGGTCTCTGCACTGCCTGGGCGCTCAGCTCAGCTCCCCTAGGTCAACGGTTCTCAACAAAACCCGGTGATGTCGTCTCCCGGCTGGCACCTGGCAATATCTGGGGTCAGTCTGATTGTCACAAGGGAGGGGGGCATGCAGGGCATTACTGACATCGAGCGGGTGGAGGCCAGGGATGCGGCTGAACACGTACCATGCCCACCACAGGCTCCACAGCAAAGATTCACAGGGACGCGGCTGAACACGCACTGTGCCCACCACAGGCCCCACAGCACAGATTCACAGGCAGCAGGTGGAGAAACCCCGGGCTTGCTGAGTCTAAATCCAGCACTGACTAGCGGTCCAGGAACCGTCTCCCGTCCGGAGGCCCCACTCCCTGCTTGCTTCCTTTCAGAGAACTGTCCTGTTTGCAGCTGCATGTGGCACTCTGGTTAGTGCCCACCTCTGCTGGTGGGCTGTGGCTCCAGGGACAGCCCACTCACCTCTATCGCTCCCAGTGCTCTGGCTTCTCCCCTGCCCCCTTCAGGGATGCTATCAGCTCTCATACCTCACTCAGTCCCCAGGGGCTGGGTGAGCTTGTCCCCACTGGCCTCACAAAAGTCCAGACCCAGCCTGCTTGCCTTCCCACCTGGCTTCTAGAAAGGAAGACAGATCAGCACATCAACTCGGAAGGGGAAGTATGTGTGTTTGGGGGGTGGGGGTGAGGGGTTCCGGGGCAGGAAGTGGGAAATCAAACAATGGCAGTGAGAACTGGGGTAGGGGGGAAGGCAAAGGCCTGACAAAGCCAGCTGGGGAGCCTAGGAGGTAGCCATGTGCAGGGTAGAGGGAGGGGGCAGGGTCCTGTCTGCTGCCCTCACCCCAGGCCGGTACCCATCAGCATCGGGCACAGAGGGCCTTTGAACCTTTGAGACCGGCCCTCCCCCAATTCAGTTGTGTTCCTTTGCTCATTTTGCAGTATTTCCTGGGAACTGATCTTTCAAAAGTCTGCGCAAGTCATCGTGGCGTGGATTTAGAGCATCCTCCGAACTCCCACCTCCCAGCCTTCCGCAGGTCCTCCACTTTCACCTCAGGGCCTTGGCACTCCGGTTCCCTCTGCCTGGAAGGCTCCTCTCTCAGCCTGCCCCTTCCTGCTATCCCAGGCTGAGATGCCCAGCCAGCCCACCTGAGCTTCACTCCGTGCACACAGCCTCTCCTCCAACTCTGGTTACCTGGGCCAGGGACTGTGGTGGCAGGCTGCTGTCTCCATCCCTGTGGCAGACTCTAGTCTGTCAGAACCCAGGGCTGTCTGACTTACCCACTACTGTGGCTCCAGACACACAGCTTCTGTGGTTGCGGTTACTTGCCTCGTGTGTCAGGGTAGAACCACGCTCCATACGGTTAGCGGTGGCTGATTTTTTGGAAGCATAATTGCCAGAACTTTCTTTCGAGTTACCTCCAGGTGGGTTGAAACCACCAACCTTACAGCGAACAGTAGAGTACTTAACTATCTGTGCCACCCAGGGACTCCACGGTTGTTGTCAAGTGCCGTCGAGTTGATTCTGGCCCATAGCGACCCTGTATAGGGTTTCCAGGAGCTCTGGTAGCGTAGTGGTTACGAATCGGGCTGCGAACCGCAAGGTCAGCAGTTTGAAACTACCAGCTGTTCCCTGGGAGAAAGATAAGGCGTTCTGCTCCCATAAAGATTAACAGCCTCGGAAACCCTGTACAGGGTTGCTATGGGTTGGAACCGACTCCACGGCACGTAACAATAGGGTTTCCAAGGAGCAGCTAGTGAGCTTGAACCACCGACCCTGCAGTTCAAACGGCTTTGCAGTCTGGTGCATTAACCCATAGCATCACACCAGGACACCAGGGACTCCACAGTGTTGTTGTTGTTGTTGTTAGCTGCTATCAAGTCAGCACCAACTTACAGCGACCTTATGCACAGCAGAACCAAACACTGTCCAATCCTGGGCCAGCCTCACTACTGTTGCCACACTTGAGTCCATCGATGCTGCCACCTGGCCAATCCATCTCCTTGGGGGTCTTCCTGTTTTTCTCAGACTCCACAGTAGATGCTAGTAAATGTTTGCTAAGTGTCCCCAGCCTGGGGCTATAGTGACCTGCACAGTTGGGGGGTCCTCATCCCTGACCCAACCCCCTAACCCCCAGGCTGCTCCTGGGACCACCATCCCCACCCCAGCAAGGATCTCATGGCTGTCCCAGCAGACTTGAGAGATCTGGCAGTTCGTGTAGGAGGAACAAATGCAGCTGCGATGCGGGGGGGTGGGAGCATCTTGGGTGCAACTGGGTCCCAGACAGCCGTCTTCAAACTGGCTGAGGGGAGGGGGGGAACAGCAGGAGAAATCACCCAGAAGCAGAGCCCAGAGGTAACCCCAAGTGCCGAGGGTGAACAGTTCTCCCTTCTGGAGTCTAAGTAGGCCCCCACATGCCTGCTGTACTTTTCCCAACCCTTCCTCAGGCCCCTCTGAGAAGATGTATCCTCTACAAAACCTGCAGCCCACAGGATAGGGCGGGAAAGGGTGGGGCACAGCTTTGGCATTTGGGGGGGGGGTCAGACTCTGAGGATGACAGGTGGGAAACCAGAACAGCCTTCGAATCATCATCAAAACTGTTATTAGCTGCCTTCAAGTCACATGTGCAACGGCACACAATGCTGCCCAGGTCTGCCCACGACATCCCCATAACTGGCTGTGGATTGCACTGTTGTGATCCACAGGGCAGGCACTGGCTGATTTCCAGGCCTTTCTTCCTAGTCTGTCGCAGTCTGGAAGCGCCAGTGAAACCTCCTCAGCATCCTAGCAACACACAAGCCTCCACTCACACAGACGGGTGGTAGCTGGGCACTGGTCAGGAATCGAACCTGGGCCTCTCTCATGAAAGACAAGTATTCTAACCACTGAATTGTCAGTGCCTTCTCATCGTCAAAATGTTGTTGTTGCTAAGTGTCCTCGAGCTGGTTCCGACTCTGTATAGGGTTTCCAGGGTGAGTTTGAACTTCCGACTCTGTATAGGGTTTCCAGCTGGTGAGTTTGAACTGCCGACTCTCTGGTACGCCCAGGGCTTTATTTCACAGCGCCACACCAGGACTCCAATATCCTACACTAAATGACTGTACTGAAGAAATATTTACTGTTTGTAGGATAACATTTATTATTTGAATTTAGTCCTCCCACCAGCCCTACACTGACTCTAAGTCTGCTTCTGTCTCATGGTCTCCCCATTTTATAGACAAGGAAACTGAGCCTCAAACAGCTCAGGAAGGCAGGGTATGATTC